GCAGGAGGAATTATCTCTGCCTCCAGAGGAAGTTCCTTCGGCAAAAGCATCTGAAACACCTGCTACCTTCTGGGCACCGTTCCATGGTTCTAACAAGTCCCAGCCTCCCTCGTTGGTAGTGAAGCCTGTCTGAGCTTGGAGAGAAGGTGCTGGCGGTAAACAGCCCAAAACCTGACGTCCTGGCCTGGAACTGGTTTTCCAGACACAGGTGGGCATTGGCAGCCTGAGGCCTGGCTCTGGCCCTCAGTGCAGACAGCTGAGCCATCCAGGGGGAGCAGGGGTAGGCTTTGGTCTGAGGTGCACATGTGGGTCCCCAGTTCCCTGACTTCCCTGTTGCTCACAGGCCAGGATACAGTGCTGCAGAACGCAATAGATGAGATGGAATTGTAGACTTCACCATTCTCCTTTTAATGTACCTGGTCTGTTAACCAATAACGATGAGCAAAGCGATAAAAGAGCCAGCAAGCACGGCTTTGAGAGCAGCGGGAGAGGCCGTCTCAGAGCCCTCTGTGAAAGTCCACGCTATAGATGGGCAGGCTGTGGGAGCTTTGTAGGCGGTGGAAAAACGGCACTGGGCACTGAGTGGCAACCTCGTCCTTGAGTTCGGCTTGAAAGAATTCAGAGCCAAGGAACTTAAGTCTTAAGGGGAAGTTTAGAAAGTGACAGAAGTAGTAAAAGGCCCTTGGTGCTTAGTAGGAGGAGGAGGAGAGATATACATCTTGAGGAAAAAGGGAGGAGAGGCACTAGGACATACTCCAGGGAAGAGAGCATGCCCTGGGGAAAGCAGGGGGTGGGGAAGGGAGCTGGATGCTCCTTAGTGAGTTTTTATCTGAAGGCCTCAGGGCAGGATCTCCATAGAGCTTGTATCCCCAGTGTCTCCTGGGTGGGTGGGGAGTGTCTCTACTGAGTGGTTAGTGCCAGGAAGTCATTGGTCAATGCAGCAGGTCCTGATATGGTGAGTAATTTTCTTCTTCTGACTGCTGCTTCTCTGGGCCTGGAGCTGAAACAACTGAAGCCTAGATGTCACCTTCCAGGAGTTAATGCTTAAGGGAGTGGTCAGGCAAGGGCCAGTCGTTTTGCCTGTTGCTAGGCACCTGGGGCTTTCCGCCCCGGTGACCCTCTGCACCTGGCCCAGGGTTCTGCTCTGCTCATGCTGTTTAACTGTCTGCTCCACTTGCATTACAGGAAAGGAAAACCTATGAAGTATGTTACAACTACACCTCGTTAGACTACATTAGACTGGCAGAAGTCCAAAAGCTGGGTCACCGTGCCAGGGGCTGGCTGAGGCTATGGGCCTGCAGGCACTTGGTGTGTTGCTGGTGGGAGAGCAGCCTGGTGCAGCCATGGTGGAGAGGAAGCAAGCACTGTTATGGTGGCGAGGGGAGTTGGTGGAGTCTGGGAGAGGAGAGGCAAGGCCTTCCCGGGTAGCTCAGTTGGTTAGAGCATCATCCCGATAGGCCAAGGTTGCAGGTTTGATCCCTGTTCAGGGCACATACAAGAAGCAATTAATGAATACATAAATAAGTGGAACAAATTGATGTTTCTCTCATTCTCTCCTTACCTCCTTCTCTCTTAAAAAAAAAAAAAAAAAAAAAAAAAAAAAAAAAAAGAGCCCTAGCCAGTTTGGCCGTTTGGCTCAGTGGATGGAGCGTGGGTCTGCGGACTGAGGGGTCCCAGGTTCGATTCCAGTAAAGGGCATGTACCTTGGTTGTTGGTACATCCCCAGTGGGGAGTGTGTAGGAGGCAGCTAATTCTCTATCCCTTCCCCTTTCCCTTCTTCTCTGTAAAAATTTAATAAAAATATATTAAGAAAGAAAAAGGGGGTAGGTAAAATGTGGTGGATGCACACTGGGATTTATTATGCAGCAGAGAGAAACACTGGATTAGATGTGCCTATAGTGAGTGTCATGGATGGATCTTAAAAACCATTCTGAGTGAAAAAAGATTCAAAATGAAATATATAGTAATGCCATTTATGAAATGCAAATGTGTAAAGAACAGCAAAACACGTTTTACAAGAATGCATACCAACAAAGGTACACAGTGCACACATTAGAATAGTTGGCTAGTCAGGGAGCACCTGTGAAATATGTGAAACCAAGAGGAGGAAAAATAGTCTGGAAGAGGGTGAGTACCGGTGTGAGGGCTTGTCCTCCTGGGAAAATGTGTGGGCGTGCATCCCCATTCCATGCAACGAACGGTGTGTTGGTAAATGGCTCTCCAGGGAAAATAAACTGATTCAAGGTGTTTACCGATTTCCAAGGTGAGACTACCCTGCTACCCCGCTGCCTTCAAGGCTGATTTTCAAGGACAGTTTGGGAGACACACCCATGCTGCTCCTGAGTCTACCATTTCCTCTGCTGCTCCCTACTTGTCAGTATCCTAACAATAACTGTTTTAAGGCCAAAATCTCTATGTCCCAGATAAGGCAGAACTTCAGTGGAAGTCATGATACACACGGCATACACTTTGAGGCTCATGGACCAGGCATTACCACCCAACTGAAACCTATTTTCTTCTTCGTTTCTTGAAAAATGGTAGTTTCTATCTCCCCAATCATTATTGACCAAATAAACCACAAATAATCCCCCAAATGTCTACTTTTTGTTGTTGTTGTTGTTGTTGACTGAGAAATGCAATTAGCACCATATTTCCTAGGAAAAAAAGCTATTTCTTTGAAAGGATTAACTATTGCTGGTAAAAGGGCTACTAAGGCCTTTTACCAGCAAAAGGAAAATGGAGCAGGGAGGCCTGCAATCTAGTTTGTATCTGGTTAAAACTGCAGTCTTCTTCCCCACTCCTACTGGCTTGGGTGGAGCTGCAGAACCCAGCCCCAGGGCCCCGCCAAGACTGACTTGGGCGGAGCTTTGGGGACCCTCAGGGGCCCGCCACAGGAGATGTATAGGTCAGAGCCTCCCCAGGAGTTGGGTTCAGGCTTAGTATCTAAATTTCCCTGGACTAAGCAGATCTGCAAAATAAAGGTTAAACTTCCTTCCCTCAGAGTGCAGGCTGATCGTTCTCCCTTGCATCTGCTACAACATACCAAGTCATAACTTTAAAATGTTCATCCTTTAAAAACTGCAAACAGCTGAAACCAGTGTGGCTCAGTGGATAGAGCGTCGGCCTGTGGACTGAAAGGTCCCAAGTTCGAGTCTGGTCAAGGGCATGTACGTTGGTTGTGGGCACATCCCCAGTAGGGGGTGTGCAGGAGGCAGCTGATTGATGATTCTCTCTCATGGATGTTTCTAACTCTCTATCCCTCTCTATTCCTCTCTGTAAAAAATGCATAAAAAAACAAACAAAAAACTGCAAACATACAATAGCAGCATTTCCATTCTTCTCCGGAAAAGAACCATTAAAAAATTTCTTCCTTGTCCTGCCATCAGAGGAGGGTCTCAACCTCATCACCATGGACATTCTGGCTCAGATAACTCTTCGCTGTGGGCGCTGACTGTGCACCATAGGATGTTTAGCAGCATTCCGGGCCTCTACCCACTCCATGCCCATGCCATCCCCAGACCAAAAGAATATCCAGACACTGTCAAATGTACCCGGTGGCAAAGTCAGCCCGTTGAGAACCACTGCATTAGAAATATCCAAATCTTATCTGAGGAGGCTTTGCCGGGACACATTGTAAAGCAGCTGTCATTTGTGCCCAGTAGAAATAAGTGTGTACAAAGAGTTCATAAATCTTTATGAAATGCTTTTGTTTATGACCAGTTTTTGCCACGAGCTGTGACCAAACCAACATTTTCCATTATCAAATATAGTTTGAGTTTTAAAAACAGAAAAGTCTGGAATGGGTCCAAGTCTGCCAAATAGCTAGCTAGGTACTAATTACCAATAGCTTCAAAAAGCTGTTCGGCCCTAGCTGGTTTGGCACAGTAGATAGAGCATCAGCCTGCAGACTGAAGGGCCCATGCCTGGGTTGTGGGCTCGATCCCCAGGAAGGAGTGAAAGTGAGGGAGAGAGAGAAAAATCAGTGTAAGATTGGTTTCCTCCTGCATGTGGGCACCCCAACCAGGGCTGGGGATTCAGTATGCAACCGAGGTACATGCCCTTCACTGGAATCCAGGACCCTTCAATCCTCAGGCTAAGGCTCTATCCACTGAGCCAAAGTGGCTGGGGCATCTTTTGTATTTTTCAAACCCTTTAAAAATGTAAAAACAGCCCTGACTGGTTTGGCTCAGTGGATGGAGCGTTGGCCTGGGGACTGAAGGGATCCGGGTTCGATTCCGGTCAAGAGCATGTACCTTGGTTTCGGGCGCATCCCCAGTGGGGGGTGTGCAGGAGGCAGCTGAACGATGTTTCTGGTTCTCTATCCCTCTCTCTTCCTCTCTGTGAAAAATCAATAAAATATATATTTAAAAAAAAAAAAAAAAGTAAAAACATTGCCTGCCATGCAAAAGGCCTCTGGTTGCCTTAGTTTATATAACCCCTGCCCTCAACAATTAATTTTAAATGGGCCCTAAACAGCCTATTTGGCATTTATTGGGATTTTACTCATCCAGACTTCTGAAGAGAAACTGAAGGGGAACTAAAGTCAGCATGTCGGTAATTCAGAAAGGCTGAGGAGAAGGAGGTCTCCCAGTGCTCCCCTAAGGCTGTGAAGGCTACCTGCCCTGGGCTTGGTTTTGCCTTCAGAAGCCTAGACTCGGGGAAGCTGACCATCAGGGATAAAACTGAAATAAAAACACTAACAAAGCCAGGTTATGTTCCACCGCCTTCGAGGCAGTGAATGTGGGAAACAGCAGGCTGGTCGTTACAGCCCTTTCTGGGCTTAGTTCCTCCTGCATCCATCTATCTCACTCATGCTCCTGAGGTCAGATTAAGCACAAATCAAGCCCAGGACAGAAATCCAGGCTGCGGCTGTGTCTCCAAGATATGGATCCCGATTGCTACAACATGGTTCAGCAGATTTCCCAAATGATGAGAACTTTAATAAAAATGTCAGCTTTTTGAGCTAGCTCCTTCCCCCCCCAGTAGAAAACACTTCATCGTTAAAAAGCAATCCATTTATTTCATCACACTCTGTTTAGGCAATTTTAACTTTTTCCACCGTCGTAAGACCACTCTGTATTTTTCACTTTCGGTCTTCTCTTCAAACACTTTCTTCAGGAGAATCCTCATCACTACCACTGTTTCCGTTTCCTTATCTTCTCCAATTAGGAGATCCAACGTATCTCCCACTTTCACCTGAAAGTTAAGAGACAACAGAGCCTTTATTACATCTTGGGAAATGCAGGCCAATGCAAACATCTCTGCTCTGAGTTCTCACTGGGTGATCACCACCCGGGGCAGGTGAGCAAAGGGACTGCCTCCTCTCTAACAGCCACTCGGTTCCTAGGGCCGCACTCAGCTGCCTCAAACACGTGCACCTCAATACCAGCCAGTGTCCTGCCTTCAGACCCAGACAACTGGCAGCTTGTGGACAGTCCCTGAGTGGTGTGACTCACCTCTCAAATACTCACCTCTGTTGGATGATGTAAGGACACATCTGAACGGGGGCATTTATTTTTATAACAATGGCAAAAGACAACAAGTGGGGCGCAGTCTTAGAGATTATGTGCATAGTGATTACTACAGGCACTGAGAAGACAGTTTCCAGTGTAACACTTTTCACGGTTTCAATCCAGATGAGCTACATGGTCGTGCACCAGGCAGTTTGCTGGGAGTCACTATGGAACAGTGCTCAGCTGTATCTTTTGGAGAAATGGAAAAAGCTGTATCTGCTTTTCTCTGACTGGCCCCAGTGATGCCCCATCATCAAGAGAAACAAGAAACAGAGACCAGCCGAAACCGGTTTGGCTCAGAGGGTAGAGCAATGGCCTGTGGACTGAAAGGTCCAGGTTCGATTCCGGTCAGGGGCATGCACCTTGGTTGCAGGTGCATCCCCGGTGGGGGGTCTGCAGGAGGCAGCTGATCAATGATTCTCTCTCATCGATGTGTCTAACTCTCTATCCCTCTTCCTCTCTGTAAAAAATCAATAAAATATATTTTTTTTAAAAAGAAGAAAAAAAAAAGAAACAGAAATCAAAGGGATGGTTACCAGAAGGTAGGGGGCGGAAGGGCCTGCAGGGAATGTGGACAGGTGAAAAGGTGAAGGGGAATATGTTCAATAATACTGTGATAAACTGGCATGGTAATAGATGATTACTAAAATTAATGAAGTGACACACTTTAAGGTATAAAGATGTAAAATCACTACATTGTATACCTAAAACTAATATAATATTATATACCAACCATACTTAGATGAATGAAAAGAGGGTCAAGCTGGATGCTGATTCAGTAGGTTCAGAGGGCTGAGGTCAAACCCATTCCTGCCCAGATGGAGCTTTGGGTTGCGCTAATACAGGGCATGCCTAGGGCATTCAGTCATTGTTGCCAGGGGGCTGCGAGCCCAGGATGCACACCTGGTCTTAGCAATGCCCGGATCCAAGGGGATCTGCCCAGCAACCAAGGAAGGGGCTAACTGGCCCACGTGCCATGTTCTGCTTCCGCTAGAACACAAGCAGGGATGAGCACAGCCATCTCAGACGGCTCACCATTCTTCCAAGGGGAAGGGGAACCCCATGGGTGGGCCATGGACTTCAACTGGACACTCATGACCACTTAAAATCCTACTAGAAGGCTTCTGTTTAAGAGGCATGGTGCCAGATGCTGGCTTTTACCTTATTTCCCAGTGACTGCTCTCTGAGGCAGTCATAATTTCATGCTTCTGGAACATCTGTTCTCCCTCCCACACAAGGCTTTTTGTAGGCACAATACTCCGTCTACAACATGGGACCGCACACCTGCTCACCATGATGCCACACTGGTCAATCCAGACAGCCCAGAGCAGACGGGTGAAAAACCCACACGGGCCTGTTTTAGACCATTAACTCTCTCTGCTTCGGGCTGAGAACCAGAAAGGCTCACACCACAGCCAGCAAGAAGACTGCTTCTCCCCAGGGGGATGAAGACTAGACCGATCTAGGAATCACCTGGGGTAGGGGATCCTCCTGTAGTTCTACTGGGTTCAATAAAAGATAAAAATAAAATAACCACACAGCTCCAACTGAGTGGACACCTAATGTCCAAAACTACAAGGCTCGGGGATCTGTTTCACTAAAACTCATTTTAATTAAATAATGTAGGCACATGATATGAAATTTAAAAGGTACAAAAGGACACAGAGGAAGGGCACGCCTTCTTGTGTACCTTCTCATGCACATACTGTGGGTGGCGTCTCATGAAAGAGAAGAGCAGGCTCACAGGTACCTGAAAAGCGGGAGGAACCGACCTCTCCGCGCCTGTCCCAGAGAGAGGAGGATTCAGGCAGGCTTCAATCCCCACACCTGGACCCATCGCACACTCCTGTCTGAATCAAGTTACCCAGCACCTACAGCACTCGGGTCCCAACTGGTTTGCAGCTCACAGAACAGCTTTGCTCAGCGGCAGGCAGCCACGATTACAGCTGCAGCACCAGGCCAGCGCCTGACCCTTAAGGCCAGCAGCCATGCACAGGGAGGTTTCTTTATTCCTTGCAAGGCCCTGTCCTTCCTAACATGGGAGACGGCACAGCAGACACAAAGCAAACTGGGATTAGGGACAGTTCCAAATATCTACATTTCAAGTCTCCCCTTAGCTGCAGTTACTATGGCTACCAGGTCTCCTAGTAACAAGGCGGTAGAATGTTAATACTGGCCCCTTCCTTTGCTGACCCTCAGGAGAAATCTGGAAGGCAGCCGAGATACAGAACACTCAAGGCAGAATAAAGCAGCAGCAATTAGGCTGTAATTAACAATATCTGGTAGCAGAGGGGGAATAATATCCTTGGGGTGTTTGTAAATGAGACCCCAGCACGGGCACCGTGCACCAAGGTGTCTTGCCTTTGGGACATTGCAGCTGATGAGAAGGGGGCTGGACTACAACCCCGAAAAAGCAATTAATGGTGGGGAAGGACCCGATCTCTAGAAGTGTGGCCGTAGCGCCCAATTTCCTGTGGCTCACAGAGCAAGGACTGACACCCAGGCTGCTAGTCAGGTGTCATCAGAGGGAGAGTGGGCCTTGTGACTTGGCAGCTGACCCGAGCGCTGAGGAGTCGTGCGCTAAGGAGTCCCCTTATCCTGTCCACGCTGGTCCCGAAAGGGCTTTGAAGAAAGTGAAATGTGAGAGAAGCTAAAATAAAAACAACCTCCAAAAGTGTGTCTAACTTGCCCGGAACGCTGGTTCTCTGGACATGAGGAGGTAGATTATGTCTGCCAATGCCTTGGAAGTCTGTCTTCCTAACTTTTTAAGGGTCTTTGTCATTCATATTTTTGTTTTGTTGACTTTTACTTTCATGATTGTACTTCCCAATTATGAAAGGGACACATACTTATAAGAAATTCAGAAAATAAGAAGCATGAAGAAAATATAACCCATAATGCCCCACTCAAACGAATACTAATAACATTAATGTTTTAATTCTAGATGCATATATTTATGTAATTTACTTTTACAAAAGTACATATATTTAACAGAATTAACAAATTTACTCTAACAGTGGATACGGGGACTACATTTTCTAAGGGACTTCTTTTGCTTCCAGTCGTGTTGATGTGGAGCTGTCAAGAGGACATGACCCCTCCTGTGTGACAGTGCGGCACAGAGCAGGGTACCCAGCAGGTGCTGGGGGGAGGGGTGGCCTCTGCCGGCACAGAATTACACATCTGCTCAGGTAACAGCGGGCCAAAAAACCTCACCACAGATCAATGTTTCTTTTTAGCCCGATTATGATGACTGAGAAGTTAAAATTACAGATTTTTGTCAGTTCTGATAGTCATCTTAACATTTTAAAGAAAAAAAATGGGAAGCTTCCCCTCAAAGTCAATATGGCTGCAAAAGAGCAAGTGATCTGTGCGACTGAGGCCAGCTGGTGATTCTAGCGTGCGCAGGCCCCAGGGAGACCTGAGAAATGGTAAGACAGACACAAGGATGCCCCAAGTAAGGAGCCCGAGGGGAAGTTAGGGGCATTAATTGAGTACTTGCAAAGCAACAGCCCAATAGCTCTGGCGGTCTTAATATCTCACCGTTCTGCTTTTCTTCCATAATTTCTCCCCGTTCAGCCTGAGTTCACCTTTGTAGAATGCATCTTCCACTTTGCTTGGGGGAAAAAAAAATCAAAGTGCTTTAAAATAGAAATATATTCAAAACCATTACTACACAAGTTTGAAAAACACACCTGCCATTAATGCTTATTCTGACAGTGACTTATTTCCCCACAAAATCTTCAGCCTGGGTGCTGGGATTGTGAAAGACAACTGCTCCCTCATGTATGTAAAACAGGGAGACCAAAGGGAACTCCTAAATAGATGCTGTCCTGCTGCAAAGATTTGCTAGTACCATCAAGCAGGCAATCGGCACCTTGCCCGGGCTTTCTAAGAGGGCTCACACGTGCCCCAGCCATCTCAGAAAGGGGCCCATTCTCCGCCTGACCCCCTGTGCAGCAGCTCCCTTCAAGGTGGCAGCTCCTGTGATTCTCAACCAAGAATGAGCACTCCCTCCCCCTCACATACTGCTCTGTGCTCTGACAGAAAAACCAGGCACCTCACGTATGCTGAGGCCATTAAGAAACCCCAGTAGGGGGTGTGCAGGAGGCAGCTGATCGGTGATTCTCTCTCATCGATGTTTCTAACTCTCTATCCCTCTCTCTTCCTCACTATAAAAAATCAATAAAATATATTAAAAAAAGAAAAAAGAAAAAGAGACCCTCACTAGTCTGCACTGAGGATTGGGGAAACTCCAATCCCAGCAGCTGCTGATCTGTCTGAATTTAATCACTGGAGCAACTAGACCAGGGAAAGATGCAGACAAAATCAATGCCCTTTCTTCCTGATGCTCTGATTCCAAGTGACTGACATCCGGGGTTCTGCTTAATGACAGCAGCAGCAGCTACTACCCCGGGAGAGGAGTGGACCCCTTATGAGTTTGTCAGATTTTAGAGAACATTCAACAAATTCTAATCAGGTTGCATATGGGCTCAGTCACGTTTATGAGTCCTTACGCTCCATAGATTGAAAAAATTAAACTATGCCATTAGGTTAGGTCATAAAGGTACAAATTACTTAAGGAAACCTTTCTGAATTTATAATTCATACCACAATTCTTATCTTGAGTGCAATATGTACACAATGATTATTATAGGAATGAATGAATGAGGGTCACTATCCTTATATAATGATAGTCTAAGAGAGAATAATAAATCTTGAAAGTTATACTTCCTATCTCTGTGCACTATATATGAACACACAGTATTTTTAAAAATTTTTAAATTAAATTATTATCTGTGTACATATACAATTGTGAACACACAGTATTTTTATCATTACAGGTAACATATATCGAGTACCTACTATGTGCCAGGCACTGCTATAAGTGCTTTAGAGACATAGAGAAATACTCATTTAATACTACCACTACCTTCGCACACGTGTCAAACACACGGCCCGCGGGCCAAATCCTTGATAGCATGTGAGTTGGTTAACAGCACTGTTAAGGAAAAGATTGTTCCACTCATTTTAAATTCACATTTCTGGTTAACATTGTCAGTTTATGACTGTAAAGTAAACCATTCGGCCCGCGATTTAGGCTGGATTTTAGATTTTGGCCCCTTCTCTGATTGAGTTCGACACCCCTATTCTAGAGCAAGTTCTATTATCCTCATTTTACAGATAAGGAAAATGAAGCACAGAGAATTTATGCCCAAGGACATACACAGAATCAGACATTAGTGGTCTGGCTGCAGAGCCTGCATTCTTTTCTTTTCTTTTTTATCCTCACCCAAGGATATTTTTTCCATTGATTTTTAGAGAGTAAAAGGGAAGGAGGAGGGGAAGGAGAGAAAGAAATACAATGTGACACACATCAATTGAATGTCTCCCGCATTCGCCCCTAATGGGGCTGAGGAACCTGCAATCGGGGTATGTGCCCTTAACTGAGAACTGAACCTGAGACCCTTCAGTCCACAGGCCAATGCTCTAACTACTGAGCCATTGGCCAGTGCCAGAGCCTGCATCCCCTCCCCCCCCAAATATATTTTTATTAATTTCAGAGAGGAAGGGAGAGGGAGAGAGAGAGAGAAACAAATAGATTGTAACAGTGGATACTGCATGCCCCACACTAGGGATCGAGCCTACAACCCAGGTTTGTGCCCTGACCAGGAATCGAACTGTGACCTCCTGGTTCACAGATCTACACTCAACCACTGAGTCACTCCAGCCAGGCCAGAGCCTGCATTCTTAACCACCATGTTATATACACTGCTTCCGTTGATTTTAAGAGGTATTTTTTCATGCTACAGCATTTGTGAAACCCACATGCATTTAAGCTTACAATATACATCTTTTTTTTTTTTTTCAGTATACATCTAACACAGTGATTCCTTTTCTCCTCAAAGATGTTATTAATGGTTCATCTTACAATCTTATGGGAGTTTTAGAAACAAGGAAATATGGCACATGGGATTTGCAGCCACTTGACTTCTTTGGGAATCAATTTTTTCATCTATAGAATTGAAAGAGGTTTCCTCTAAGGTCTTTTCATATCCATGGTTACTCTTCACAATACTGATAATGCTGACAGGTTAAAATAACCAACAAGAAGAAAAGTGATTTTGTAATAAAATGCACATCATACTTACTTTCTGCCGATATCTAGGCCTGTCTTCAGGATGACATCATACCGAAAAGACTGCACTACTTTCTCCAGGTCTTTGTAGTCTTTGACCACACTGGGGTCATCCTCCAGCTCCTCTTCTTGCTCATCCACCTCATGATCACTCTCTTCATCAGAGTCCTCTTCAGCTTCGGCTTTCTGCAGACCCTTTTTAGTGGATTTTTTAGAGCTTGTTTTACTTTTGAGCCTTATAGAAAATGGGAAAATATATTCTGGAGCTATTAAAAGTCCTGGGAGTCTCAGTGAGAAAATATTATGGAAAAATGTTTTATAACTTGGTGCATTTAATTTGGTATTAGAAAAATAGAAGTATCGATTCCAGGAAGCACAGTGTTTGTGTGAAGGTGTCCCTCGTAGCGCTCCCCAGACTCCAATCCAGGCATCTGGTTTTCTTAAAATACTGGTGGGCAATCTGACACTAGTCATAGCCATGGTGCATATAACCTGCAACAGACAATGACTCAGTTTTACTTCACAAGTGCAGTGTCCTGGCATTTAAAAAAATATATATTTTATTGAATTTTTTTACAGAGAAGAAGAGAGAGGGATAGAGAGTTAGGAACATCCATGAGAGAGAAACACTGATTAGCTGCCTCCTGCACACCCCCATCGGGGATGTGACCACAACCAAGGAACACGCTCCTGACCAGAATCGAACCCAGACACTTCAGTCCGCAGGCCAACGCTCTATCCACTGAGCCAAACGGGTTTCGGCTGTCCTGGCATTTTTACAACACAAACCACACACACCCATGAACACTTTATACCTAGTACTGTCCTGAAGCTCCCCTACAAAAGGCCGTATTGGTTTGCATGTACGAAGGACCATGCAGTGTACCATGGTCAGTCTTCAAGCTGCAATTAATGTGCTTACTTCATAGGATGGCCATAAGGGTCATACTAGATACTAATATCTGTGAAAACACTGGTTCTGTTCTTTCCAACCCCTGAATTAGCTTGATACTGACTGCTACTGAAAAATATTAACAATAGTTCTCGGTTTTTTTTCTTTTTAAAGAAAAATCTCATGGAGAGAAAGATTACTGACATAGGGCACATCCATACACCAATGACTTTGCCAAGAAAGGACACCAGAGCATGACTTCCTAAAACACAAAGTGAATCTCTAAACTTTATTTCAGCCTCCAACCCCAGCAAAACAGAGCTAGGAATGACCCAACCGGACAGGGGTACATTTTACCACCTTTACCTCAGACATCTTCCCACTGACTGCAGAGGCCCTGGCTAGCAGAGAAAGGGAGGCTTGGAGACCCACAAGCTAGGAAATTGTTTCCTGAGGCACGGAGGTGGTGACATGCCAGAGAGCAATCGATTCCCACAGTACCTCAAAGGCAGCAGCAACTATATGATGATGATGGTGGCAGACTTTTCCCACGCCCATCAAGATGGTTTTAACGCCATGAATAGTAATGTGAGGAGGGTTGCCACGTGGTCAATACCCGCATACTTTAAGTCTGAAAATGACTGCGCCAAGGCTATCCTTTCAGACTAATCTGGTCATGATTCGAACGACTTTACCTTTTTTTTTTTTTTTTTTTTTTTTTTAAATATATTTTTATTGATTTCAGAGAGGAAGGGAGAGAGACAGAAACACCAATGATGAGAATCATTGACCAGCTGCCTCCTGCACGCCCCCAACTGGGGATTGAGCCCCCAACCTGGGTGTGTGCCCTTGACCAGGACCCTTCAGTCCTCAGTCTGATGCTCTATCCACTGAGCCAAACCAGCCAGGGCTCCTTATTACTCTCCATTCATCACAAAGCTGACAGCAGCAATTACCTGTAAGCCCACTAAACAGCTCATAGCTAGCTACTTCTAAATTATATTTGTTAACATTTTGGGCCTTATTTTTGTTGGCATGAATGAGGCTCAACTACAGAAGCACAACCCTATATTTTAGTGCTCTTGGGACCCCAATGTGAGTTGTAAATGAGAAATAAAGCAGTCTCAATCTGAGGGCTGTTTTTTTTTTTTAACACAACTGTAATTTGAAATGATTTTTAAATGCTACAAAATCCCTAGAGTACTCTAAAATACTGACTAGAAACTACTTGAAGCAACTTAAAGAGAAATACTGAAATTTACACACGTGGTCTAATATAATACAGAACAGATAATCATTCATAGAAAGAACTTTAAATTTTATGTCAGTCAGTGATAAGGAAGAAAATAGTTTATGGCTCACTATAATAAAATTTTTTTAGTTACCTAATGATGAACTACTTTTTATTTTACCAAGTAAAATATTTTTACCCTTTATTTTGCCAAGTAAGGATTTTTAGTAGTAATGTAATTTTTAAAAGAAAAGAGATTTCAATTATTATATACGAAATATATTTTCATGGTAGAAAATTTGAACCCTGGCTGTGTAGCTCAGTTGATTGGAGCATCATCTGATACGCCAAGGTTTCGGTTTCAATCCCTGGCCAGGGCACATACAAGAAGCAAACAATGAATGCATAAATGAGTAGAACAACAGGTTGATGTTTCTCTCTCCCTCTCTCTTTCTAAAAAATAAATAAATAAAATTTGAAAAAACAAAACAAAGAAAAGTCAAATTACCAATCATCTCCTCTATGAAACTATTGTTAACATTTTTGGTATATATTCTTCACAGTGTAAAATTTTAAGAAAAATAATTCCCTTACTACCCTGTTTCTCCGAAAATAAGACAGTGTCTTATATTTTTTCTCCCAAAGTTGCACTAGGTCTTATTTTCAGGGGATGTCTTATCTTTCCATGAGCTAGGTCTTATTTTCGGGGAAACACGGTTGTAGGTCCTCTCATATCTAGTCACTCAGCCAAAACACACAGGAAGGTTAACTATAAGTGGCCAGAGCTCTCTATCATCAGCCTCAGGAATTCTGTGTTGGGCTTAAGTTCAAGACTCATCAGAATTTATCCAGGTGATGTCTAAGTTATGGGCTAAGACAGCCTTGGTTGAAATCATCCCCTGCTGTTGGCCTAGACTAGACTGGTTTATCAGATGCTCATATGGAAAAGATGAAGACTAACATTAATAATAAGTCAGTGTTTTTTAAACTGTGAGTCATGAACCATTAAGAAAATGTCTACTTTTTAAGACCTACAACTGAAGAGTACAGAGAATATTGCAGTGCATTACATATAACAAGAGTAAGTACTGCTAATGGTGCTTCATGAAACTTTTGTTACATTTACTCACATACGTATATATGTACACATACACACTGGGTTATCATGAAAAATGCATTTCCTGTGGATCACAATAAACAAAAAGTTTGAAAACACTGGTCTAAGTGACTTCAGCAAATTATTTTTTGCTGCCAGGTATAATGCCGAAGGCCATGTGTATGCCTTGGAGCTCAGGCCTGGCTTCCTGTTCCATTCCAATTAACAACACTCCCAGAGCGGTTCCTGTCTGCAGAGACTGCAAGCAGCCTCTCAGGGATAACTGTGCAAGCCCCTCATTTTACAAAAGAATACAAGTGAAAATGGGGCCAATTTAACAAGGTGCTAAATTAGTGATATAGCCAGGATTTCAATGACAAATCTTCTTAACACTCACTAATTACTGTGGGTCAGGCATTGTAATTAACTCATTTACCAGTATTCCTTCCAACAAGCCCATCTAAGTTACATGGTCACACAGATACTAAGTGGACTCAAACCCAGACTCCCTGGCTCCTAATCCAGGCTCTTCACACCCATGCTAAACCGCCCTCCAACCTTCTGACTCCAAATCCAGTGCTCCTTCTGCTGTACCAGTGGTTCTCAGACTTTTTTTTTTTTTTTTTAAATATATTTTATTGATTTTTTACAGAGGGGAAGAGGGATAGAGAGCTAGAAACATCGATAAGAGAGAACCATCGATCAGCTGCCTCTTGCACACCACCCACTGGGGATGTGTCCGCAACCAAGGTACATGCCCCTGACCGGAATCGAACCTGGGACCCTTCAGTCCGCAGGCCGACGCTCTATCCACTGAGCCAAACCGGTTTCGGCTCCCAGCTTTTTTTTTTTTTTGGTCATGCCCCACCTAAGCATCTCTACAATTCTTTTTATTTATTTATTTATTTAAATATATTTTATTGATTTTTTTACAGAGAGGAAGGGAGAGAGCTAGAGAGCTAGAAACATCGATGAGAGAGAAACATCGACCAGCTGCCTCTTGCACACACCCTACCGGGGATGTGCCCGCAACCAATGTACATGCCCTTGACCGGAATCGAACCTGGGACCTTTCAGTCCGCAGACCGACGCTCTACCACTGAGCCAAACCGGCTTCAGTGGATTCTTTTAATTTTTTAATTTTTATATTTTATTGATTTTTTACAGAGAGCAAGAGAGAGGGATAGAGAATTAGAAACATTGATGAGAGAGAATCATCAATCAGCTGCCTCTTGCACAACCCCCACTGGGGATGTGCTTACAACCAAGGTATATGCCCTTGACCAGAATCGAACCTGGGACCCTTGAGTCCGCAGGTCCACTGAGCCAAACCGATTAGGGCTGTTTCTATCTCTCTATTCCTCTCTCTTCTGCCTTTCTCTTTAAAAATATCAATAAGCCGGTACCAGTTTGGCTCAATGGATAGAGCGTCGGCTTGGGGACTGAAGGGCTCCGGGTTCGATTCCAGTCAAGGGCATGTACCTTGGTTGTGGGCATATCCCCAGTAGGGAGTGTGCAAGAGGCAGCTGATCGATGACTCTCTCTCATTGATGTTTCTAACTCTCTATCTCTCTCCCTTCCTCTCTACAAAAATCAATAAAATATATTTAAAAAATGCATAAAAATATCAATAAAAACTTTTTTTTTTTTAAAAGAAACCTAGATTCTGCCTCAAGAGTTTTGAAACTGGTCAGAGGCGTGGGAGAGCCAAAGGAGAGGGCTAACGAAGTAGTGCTGGTGAATACTGGGGTTCGTTGTATTTCATTGAAAATAAGGATTATACTACTGAAAAGAAGTTTCCCTCCTTTTAACATAGCCTCCGCTCTTCCAGGCTCCACACAAAACCCAGGCTTCTCCTCCACGCCCCCTGTCCACACTCACTGTGCCCCTTTCCAAACTCATGTTTGCACCAATGCTGTATGTCTTTTATAATATTCTTATATCCTAAGGGAAGTGACAGGGCCAGAACTGTGCCCCATTCCTCACTCCATCCCCCATCTGCTCAGCACATACAAAAACCAGTGAATACTGAGAATTCACTTTCGAGAAATGAAATGAGCATCCAACCTGTTACTACATCCACTCACAAGCCCAGTGGCCAGGGAGGTCTACACAAAACACACAGTCCTTGTCAGGAAACGGCCTGTCAGAGCAGGAAGTGAAAGCTGAGATCCAGAGGAGGCTGCTGTGGCACAGGCTGGAGCCAGAGCAGGGATGCCTGAGGAAAGTCCTGGTGGCAAAAGTGGCAGAAAATGGAGCTCTGGGGAAACAGCAAGTTACAACAGCAATTTTTCACTTTCCAGTGAACCATTCTCATCAGCATGCTGTGACTTCTCATTCAAAACCAACCAACCAACTAACCTCTTAACCCCTCTACCCTCCAGCTGCTCTTTCTTTCTCCTCTTTACAATAAAACTCAAAAGGGTTGTCTATGCTCTCCTCAGTGCCTCTCATTTCTAAATCCAAAGGTCAGTTATTTGCCCCCGTCTTATCTTATTTTCTCAGTAGCATGTGAAACAACGATCCACTCGTGTTTTCCAGTTGTTTCACTTGGTTCCAGGACACCTCATTCCCGGCTCACCTCCTACCCCACCTGCTGCTGCTTTTCGACACTTCCCTGCTGCTTCCTTCTCTTCTCCCTGACATCGTAATGTTGGAGGGCACCAGGGCTCAGCCTCCCCTCCTCTTCTCGCCTACGTTCACTTCCTCCAGCTCCATCAGCGTTGGCAAAGGTTTATCAAGACAACAGGCACCTCCATGGCTTGAAATACCACCTAAATGGCAATGACTTCCTAATCTATATCACCATTCTGGACCTTTCTTCCAAATTCCAGATTTGTATGTCTGTGCAGAACAGTTAATATAGTAGGCCTGGGACTGCTTTCCTTAGAAAGCCTGCTGCAAGGTGGCCCCTGACTGGCGTCTGGGAACCTGGATTTCAGGAGGGTTCTCACCGTTCACAGAATGGACAGAAGTGCTCGCTGTGCCTAGTCTGTCTGTACAAACAACTTGATTTATGCTGAATACCTGCTTTCCTTCTGGGAGCCTGGAATTTTGGTCCATTTTCGATAGAGGATACCTATGTGACTAAATCCTAATGAAAATCGGGGGCCTGACTCTCTAATGAGCTTTCCTGATAGACATTTCACATGTGGTCACAATGTGTTGCTGGAAGAATTAGGCACGTCCAATGTGACTGCACTGGGAGAGGACTCTTGGCCTGGAAGACTGATCCTAGTTTCCTCCAGTCTGTCTCATGCATCCTCTCCATTGCTGGCTGTGCTTCGTATGCATTTGCTGTGACCCACAGCTGAGTTCTATGGTGAATCAATGAGCCTTGCGGTGGCCTGGGGAACCTCAAACACAATATCCAATTGCCTATTCCAGTGGTCGGCAAACTCATTAGTCAACAGAGCCAAATATCAACAGTACAAAGATTGAAATTTCTTTTGAGAGTCAATTTTTTTAAACTTAAACTTGTTCTAACAGCACTTCTTCAAAATAAACTTGCCCATGCCATGGTATTTCATGGAAGAGCCACACTCAAGGGGCCAAAGAACTGCATGCAGCTCGCGAGCCACAGTTTGCTGACCACGGGCCTATTCCATATCTCCAGTTCAGTGTGAGTGTGTGACAGGCACCTGAAACAACTGGTCCAAAAACAAACTCCAGATAAATCCCCAGTCCCAAATCTGCTTTATCTGCAGCCTTCCCCACCTCGATCAGTGACAACTCCACCCTTCTAGTTACCAAGAACTAAAGCTTCCAGTCATTCTCGACCCTTCCCTTTCCTTCAGGCCCTTATGCATGCTCCCAGGAAACCAAGTTCCATTGCTACCACAGATTCAGACCACCTCATCTGTCACCGGGGTTACTACGGTCCAAAGGCTCTCTGTTAAGAGTCTGTTCTCCACAGTGTCAGCGATTCTTTTAAAAAGTAACTTACACCATGTCACTACTTTGCTCAAAACCCTACGAAAGCACCTAGAAAAGCAGAATCCTACCATGGCCCTAAGGCCCTTCTGTAACCTGGCCCCTCGATGTCCTCTCTGGCCCTTCCTTACTCAGCTCCAGCCACACTGGCCTTCCTCATGCTCCTCATACACAACAGGCACATTTCTAGGGAGTTCCTAGTTCCTGCTGCACCCCAGACATCTGCATGGATAACTCATCTTCACTTCAGTGAGGTCCACTCATTCTAACTCTGTTTAACAGACATCTCCCCCTCCCTACGTCCCTTTACTCTGCTCTACTTTCTTCCCCTGTGGCACTTACTTCCTGCTGTCAATATGTAACTTACTGGTGGGTTGTCTTTTTTTTTTTCATGTTTATTTTTTGCCTGTCTCCCTTACTAGGATTAAAAACTCTACAAGAGCCCTGACCGTTTGGCTCAGTGGATAGAGCATCGGCCTGCGGACTGAAAGGTCCCGGGTTCAATTCCGGTCAAGGGCATGTACCTTGGTTGCGGGCACATCCCCAGTGGGGGATGTGCAGGGGGCAGCTGATCAATGTTTCTCTCTATCGATGTTTCTGTCTCTCTCCCTTTCCCTTCCTCTCTGTAAAAAATCAATATATTAAAAAAACAACAACAAAAAAAAACTCTACAAGGGTAGGATCTTCACCTGTACTATTTCCTCTGCTGAATCCCAAGTGCCCAGAATAGTACCTGGCACGTGGTAGGTGCTTAATTACTCTGGAATGAAAGTAGATCAGGAGGACTGGACTATTGGAGCCCAAAAGAGAAGAAATAAAGTCGCGGCTGGATGGATGGGCAAGAAGCTAGATCTCCAAAGGCCTTGCATATCTCAGATCTCCTTGGACTTGACCCAGAGGGCATGGGAACCATCCAAGGCCCTAAGTAGGTAAGTGACCAGAGAGAGGAGTATTTTAAAAGATTTCCTTGGCGACACGGGGCTGAGCCTAGGGGTGCTCTAGGAGGTGAGCCCGCCGCCAGCGGCGGTTTCGGGTGAGATGTTCGGGGAGATAGAAAACCTGTGAACTGACCGAAGGCTGCAGAGGCGACGCTGTCCTTGACCCGCGGGAATCGGTCCAGGTCCCGAGCCTGTCCGCTACTCCATCAGGAGAACCTGACGTCTAACCGCTTACAGGTTTGTGGCCATTAAAAATCCTCCCTTCTCCCGGAGACCGGAGGCGCACCGACTGCAGAGGCGAGGCCGGGCTCTCCTCGCGCCCTCCCCACGCCCGCGGGCGGCGCGCCTTCCCGGGTCCTCAAGGTCAAGGGGAGCGGAACCCCGGCGTCCGTCCCCGAGCTCCGGTCTGCGCCGGGGGACAGGCAGCAGCAGGAGCCGAGCCGAGCGTGCGGGCGGCAGCCTGGGCCGCCGGGTCCCCACGGCCCCTGGAGCCCCCGGGGCGTGCCGAGGCAGGCGGGCCAGCCACGGAGCGGGAGACTCACGCGGAGGAGATCTAGCGGCGGCGCGGGCGGGGCGGAGGCGCGCGCCGAGCCCCAACTCCCCCAGGGCGCGCGGTGAAGCAACAGAGAGGGGTCACGGGCCGGGGGCGCCGCACACCCGGCAGGGACGCAGGTACCTGCACGTCAGAGCCGCTCCCCTCCCTCCCCTTCCCCCTCCCCCTCCCGCAGCCCGGCCGACCTCCGGCCTCCAGGCCCCGCCCTGCCCGCGCCCCGCCCCGCCCCTTCCGTCGGCGCAGGCGCAGCGAGAACGGGTTGGGCAGGACGCACGGGTGCGGCGGTGGCGGCGGCGCAGCGACCCCTGGTGGAAGCTGCGCCTCGGAGGACTGCGCGGGAGGGCAGACAGAGGGACATGCCTAGCGCAGAGTTGTTGTTACACGTGGCTGAAGCGAGCTTAGGTTGATGCAGTGAGCCTTGAGTTCTCTGGAGTCCTTACCCTTGGGAACATCTTTGGGAGTGACAGGCCGTCATCTTCTGCAAAACAGATACACTGCCAGAATTGACTGAGACTATAAAGGAAGTTCAGAGCATCTTTTCAGGAACAAAGCGATTACGTAAGCCTGGCAGGTATGGATCCGTTGGTTGGATGTCCTCCCCCTGCGCCTAAAGGTTGCTGGTTGACTTTGCAGTCAGTTTACCTGCCAGGATTTCAGGCGCAATCTCCCCTCCTCGCCCCCCTCCCCTCAGGGTGCGTGCAGAAGGCAGCGGATAGATGTGAGAGTAAACATTATGTTTCTCTTTTTCCCTCTCCCTTCCTCTCTCCAAAAAAAAAAAAAAAAAAAATTAAAAGTAAATCCTGGCCAGTGGTGCTCAGTGGTTGAATGTCGACCTATGAAACAGGAGCTCAGGGTTACATTCACTGTATGGTGGTCTGGGTACATGCCTGGGTTTGCGGGCTGGATCCCCAGATGGGGATGGGCAGGAAGCAGCCTATCAATGATTCTCTCCAATCATTGATGCTTCTCTCTCTCCCTTTCTTCCTTCCTCTCCGGTCAAAATATTTTTTAAAAAATAAATAAAAATCAATAAAAATATTTTAAAAAGAAAATGACAGGGGAAAAAAGAACAAAGCGATTAAAAGATCAACTGAGTCATACCTGTCCAGCTTATTGGTCAGGCAGTAGGTGATTAGACGGCATAAAACAAAACAAAAACCCAACTGAAAATACTGCTTAGCAGTGGAACAGCCCTTTTGTGATGTAAAAAGACGAACAATGCCGAAATTGGTTTGGCTCAGTGGATAGAGCGTAGGCCTGTGGACTGAAGGGTCCCAGGTTCAATTCCAGTCAAGGATATGTACCTTGGTTGCAGGCACATCCCCAATGGGGGGTGTGCAGGAGGCAGCTGATCGATGTTTCTCTTTCATCGATGTTTCTAACTCTCTATCTCTCTCCCTCTCTCTAAAAAAAAAAAAAAAAAAAAAATCAATAAAATATATATTTTTTAAAAAGATGAGCCAGAAATTAAAGGAAGAACTTCCAAGGACAACCTGTTGCATGAACACATGTTCACATTAATGTTCAGGAAGATGCATGCTCTGTTAAATTAGAAAGTATTTTTTCTTGTTTTCAGAGTGATCTCCCTTCCTTTCCCCATCTTTCACACTTTCATTCCACTGTTCTTCATGGCTTCACATAGTGACTACTTGATTGCATTTGTGCAATCAGAAAAAGCAGAAATTCTTTCAGTTGCTGAAATGATACAACTGTTATTGGGGGGAAAACATGTCTTCCCCCATTGCTAGTGGAAGTGGGGTTCTTGGGGTACTGTTGGAATGAGCATTTACAGAGGTCTCCAAGATATAGTACAAAGTGTTCTTTCCCTGGAATGACACCATGGTCCCCAAAGTCCGATTTCCCTTAGTCCAGTCATAGAAGAAGTGTTGCTGAGGTTTTAGTAAAGCTAGAGCTGGGTCCCCTTCAGCATCAGGCTAGATACAGTTCATTAGTCCATTGTGTGGGTTCACATGGCCCAGGGCCATGTGGTCAAATGCAGGGACACAGGAGCGAAAGAGCCCCACAGTCTCAGAGTCACTCGAGTCCTAAAAGAGCCGAGAGCACACGAGAGAGCCTGAGAGCAAACGTCTTTGATTAGGGGCTTACCGTATGTACCCAAACGTCCGCCCCTTGCAGTGGCCATGCCCATTCTGGCCAACCATCTTTGTCCTCAGGTGTGATTGACAGCAAGCACCTTTACGGGGCATGTATCTGCCTTCCCTTTGTTGGACCCCTATAATATCTGGCCTTTCCTTTGCTCCTTTCCTATTATTAAAAACTAGCTAAAAGAAAAAAAAAGCTAGCTAATTACAACTGTATCAGAACTTCATATCAATTCAGTTTACACTGTTGACATTCTATACAGGTGACACATAGTTGCATTTACTAGTTTAAGTCATTTGAAAAGATTACAGATATACTGTTAAATCTTTCAGTAACAGGAGTTAATCATTATTATTATAAACAGACAAAATTGCCATATTGGATTACATAAAATCAACTTGGTCATTGGCCTTTAAAAGACAAATATTTTGCCCTAGCCAGTTTGGCTCAGTGGATACAATGTCGGCCAGTGGACTCAAGGGTCCCAGGTTCGATTCCGGTCAAGGAAGAAATAAAAGCAGAGAGGGCTCTTATGGTAAAAAGTACATCCTTACGAAGAATTAGGCCTGCATTCTTTTTTTTCTTTTTTTTTTTTTTAAATATATTTTATTGATTTTTTACAGGGAGGAACAGAGAGGGATAAAGAGTTAGAAACATCGATGAGAGAGAATCATCGATCAGCTGCCTCTTGCACACCTCCCACTGGGGATGTGCCTGCAACCAAGATACATGCCCTTGACCGGAATCGAACCTGAGACCTTTCAGTCCGCAGACCTACGCTCTATCCACTGAGCCAAACCGGTTTAGGCTAGGACTGCATTCTTAGCACCTGGATTTGTCTCAGTGTTTCTTTAGATCAACTATGTCAAACTCGAGGCCTGTAGGCCCCATGCCTCATTTATTTGGCCTGTGTTAGCTTTTGAGTTTGACTTGCTTGCTTTAGATAACCAGTCTGGATATTGGGTGTCAGATGGCCTGGATACATGAACATTCTTCCCTTAGTTCTTCAGGGGTTATCAGATGGTGATCTGGAGGTGTGATGTATATTCAGGCATTGCTGCAGAACTAGAAAGTTCAAAAGTTTAAATTCCCAAGCTAGTTAGAACAAAAATAGAATTGTTTCCCCATACCTTAATCCAGTGGTCGGCAAACCGCGGCTCTTTGGTATGACTCTTCCACAAAATACCACGTGCAGGCGCACATGTACAGTGCAACTGAAACTTCGTGGCCCATGCGCAGAAGTTGATTCTCGACTCTCAAAAGAAAATTCAATCATTGTACTGTTGATATTTGGCTCTGTTGACTAATGAGTTTGCCGACCACTACTTTAACCCATTAGGATTAGATGTTAGTAACTTAACAGCTCGATTATAATGACTCCATTTTATTTCTTATTTATGATTTCTAACTTTTTCCACAAAAAACTCACATTTCTTTTCCTCATTTGAAGCAGCTCCTGCTATATTGCATTATGGGGATTGTAGTTTTTAGAGGCTTAGAATGTAAAGTAGACTAAGTTCTCATTTCGCTCATCAGAGCTGCACTAGTGCATACCAAAAACACAGAGTTAAGCTCGAAATTGAATCTATAAAAGTGGGCTCCAGCTTTTTATTTAGCTCAAGTACTTAATCTTACATAAGAGAGGAGTAAGTCAGTGTTTATTACTGTTTTAGAGAGGGGAAGGGGGAGGGAGAAAACAAAAAACGAAAACAAAAACACATCCATGTGAGAGAAACGCAGATTGGATGCCTCCTTATTAAATACATTTTCTTTATGCATTGAGAGATTATATGATTTTTCTTCTAATATGTTAATATGGTAGTCTGTGTGTACATTTTCTTGTATTAAAGTATACTCGTATATACCGAGCTTTCTTGTTCACTTTTTTTGTTTGTTTGTTTGTTTTGTTTTTTTGTTTTTGGTTAATACTCACCTGAGGATATTTTTTCCATTGATTTTTAGAGAGGATGGTAAGGAGGGGGAGAGACTGAGAGAAACATCAATGTGAGACACAGTGATTGGTTCCCTCCTGCATGCACCCTGACCAGGGGCAGGGATCAAGCTGCAGCTAGTATGTGCCCTTGATTGGAATCGAACCACTGAGCCAAACCAGCTAGGGCAACTTGCTTGTTTTTTTAAAAATCTCCTTATGAAATTTATATTTAAGGTGAGTTTCTTGCAAACAACATAGTTGGTTTGTGTTTTTCGTTCACTATCACACTTATGAGTTTTGGTTACTAATACTTTGTTTATGATTTTTGTATCTATGTTAGGCGGGAATGGCACCAGGTGTCTGACCCATGGGATCAGACCAAATAAGCTGATACCCAGAACCGTAAACGGAGGTGTTTTTCCCGTGATTGGGGTTGTGTCTTGTGATACCAAAGAATGGAATCTGTGGAAGAAACTTAAGCAAAAGTGTGGAAAATGTATTACAAGCAGATTCAGATTCCCTGAATGGGGAGAGGGACCCAATGATGGGCTGCTAGTGAAGCCTTGTACTCTAGGGGTATACATTTGCTACAAGCCTGCTCTGCAACTACCTGTGTCACACTGCCTGATTGATTCTCTCATGGTTCTTGCCCTACCATGGATCTGAACTCTCCCTGCTTCTGTGTGTTATTTCTCCATTCCTATGCTGAACTTCCTCTGTTTCTATGCATTAGTACACTTTGTTGATACAGGCCCTCCATTGTTTTCCCATGCCTCCCGCTTTGAGTCCAGAAACATTTTACTATTTCTGCTTGGTTGGTTTCTGTGGTTAGGCTTGCTCAAACCGTCATGGTTGCCCCTGCCACTGTTCCACCTGCCTTTGTTTCCCACTGGACCCCTGCCCTGACCCTCCAGTCAAAAAGCAGTTTAGCTCTGGGGACAGAGAGCATGTATGGAAGGGGGGGGGGGCAGCAATGGTATATATACATAGATAATAATTTAATAATAATAATAAAAAAAAAGCAGTTTAGACAGCCTCAGGGCACAAAATACCAAGGTTACTGCAATCTCGGTACTTTGGTTCTGGCTAGGAAAGGATTCAGGGTCAAGACCCAAACTGTAAGTGAACATTTACTTGG